GAATGCTTCTCCAGCTAGGCCCAGAAAGACCTGAAGGGAGCCTCACAGCAGGAGAGAGAGCAGCGCAACTGATCCTGCACAACATCCCATCCCCTCCTGTGACAAAGGGAACCCCCGTGCCCAAAGGAAGGGAAAGGGGGAAAGACAACCTGGGGCCACAGGAGCAAAAGTGTGGATGAAGGGAGGCACCGGGCATTCGAAAGCAGGCAAAGTATTCTGCCCTGCAGGAAAAAAACCTGCTTCACATCTCCCAATAGAAGGAGACTCCCCTACAAGAGTGGCGAAGGATTGTCCTTTTCTTCAGTTGACTTCAATAGGAACTCACGAGGAGGATTGCAGTCACCTCAGGAGGAGTCTTCCAAGCTCTTGAGTTGGGCGTGGATCTGTTTCAAGCAAACGTTCCTGCGCTGGCTGAAAACGCCTGCCTCTTACCCTGCCCGCTGCATTCACTGACATTTCAACTGCCAGACTGCCATCGCTGAACAGCAGTGTAAATATTGGGTCTCCACGTCTGTGCCTCATGACTGGCAAAGGACATTCCCTGTCTACACAAAGCCACTGAATGACTCTAAAGTTTGTGACTATTTTGACTTTGTAAGAGAGCGAGTGCAAACTCAGCACTCTCTAATTATCAAATACAACTCTAAATTCACTTTTATTGTTGATGGGCCACATGTCTGCAGTACATACAATGGACAGGTAAAGCCCCTCAAGTGAAACTCGGGGAGTCCAGCAGAAGGCTGGGTGTGCAGATGGCAAGAGAGAGCTCTCGGGGGGGATGGCCCTGCATTCAACTGCCTGAGCCACTTTCTTCCTCCCTCCTGAAGGCATGACTTGATCTTTCTACCACCTTTCGAGCTGAACATTGCAAGCGAAGGATCAGCTGTTCCAAGCCTCTCCCCAGAAAGAGAGACCTGTACTTCTTGTTTCACATCCTGACCTGCCTCAGCTGACCGCTCATCCTGCCTCACCACTTCAGTATCTGGACCTCTGCCTCGCACATTTGACCTTGTGCCAGGAGGGGCAGTGGTAGAAGTTTACAAGTGGACTTCAGGGGGGTTCAGGGTCCCTCTGTCTTGAAAGCAGGCACCCAACGATCATTGCAATAAACACTTCTCCTCAGCATTGAGAACTTTCATTCATTATATTGATCAATTTATCTTCCCATTGAAAGTGTTTAATTTATCCAAAAGGGAGAGGCAGAAACTCTCCCAAGTCAATCTCCAATAAAACCTCTTTTATATCCAACTTTCATGGAATTATCAGAGACAGATCAAAGAATAGCTAAAGAGTTGTTAAATTCAGTACACGTAGAAAAATCATCACTTTCTCTACGAACACCCAGATCTTTGTCATCTGGCATTCGTTCTGACTTAGACCAGTAATCCTCCAATTGGCCTAACGGGGTTCATCAAGTGCACCAGAGCCTCTATGGAAAGATCGTCAGGATATAATACTGATTGATGGACTAATCAGTTAGGTCAAAAACCATGGCTAATAATA